TGGGTCGAACATAGGCAGGAGAAATACCCATAAAATTTCAGCCCCCTAACTTCTGTGGTTCCCGAAATGATGATTTTATCCGCCAAAAGTTTTACAGGGCCATACGTGTTACCTGTGAGCACAGGAACATTGAATTTAAGTTTTCTGGGTCGCACGTGGGTAGGGGACATACCCATAAAATTGGAACGGGGACAGACTCATAAAATTTCAGCTTCCTAGCTTCCGTGTTTCCCAAGATAATGATTTTACCCGCCAAAATTTTTGCGGGGGCTATGCGTTACCCGCTGGTAAGAAAGGCCAAATTTAAATTTGCGAGGTCACAAGCTGGCGGAGAAGACTCTACTAAAATTTCAACTGCCCAGCTTTGTGGTTCCCGAGTTGAAAGTGCGGGACAAAATCTGGGACACACATACACGCACGCGCACATACACACACAGAGAGACAACTCCGTGACAATATGCGTTTTGTACTGCTGTTACACAGCACAAAATGCATAAAAAGCAAGATGGATGGCCTTCATCAAGTTACAAGTCTTCTTTCCAACTCTAACCGGCTGTGAAAGCAACACTTTTCAATTTCACCGCATTACCAGTTCTACTGCGCGGAAATGGAATTTAGGACACCATTCTTGCTGGAAAAAAAAGTTAGCGACGACCCAAAGAGTCACAGAACGATGCATGGTAGGTGACAAGTCGCAGCACGTTTCCAAATAAATGCCATCATTTCAGATTAGTGTAAGCGATATTATCGGGCCGTACATACCAGTTATATACCCGTTCGAACGGCTATATGGAATTATGTGGATGAGACAGACTCAAAGTACAGACGATGCCAGTTGCACATGCGACAACAGTCTGATTAAATTATCTAAGTAATGACCTCTTAAGTGCCAATATGGTGAAAATATTCGACAATATCAAATATGTATTAAGATTACATTGCACATGTTTGTTCTCACCAGCGAAAAATATTCCTTCTATGGTTATGCATTCCCTCTAGTAATGTATTTAGCTGCAGTTTTATAGCAGCTCGATTTATTCTGATACTAAGGTTAATTCCAGTTTGGTTAAAGCGAGATGCTGAGACGGCTAAATTGTTTGTAAGTGTAAGATTTCAGGCTCGAGATGACTGATTCGGACAGAAAACGCCACACGG